GGAGCGCTCACGGCGGTCCTTCTTGAAGACCCTCGTGTCGCCTATGAAGACGGAGACGCCGTCTGGCCTGGGCCCGCGGCTCGCCCCCGTGACCCTGGACCTCGAGGAGGGCTTCGGAGGTTTCGGAGGTGTCCTGCCTGTTCTCGCGGGCCAGAGGTTTCGGAGGTGTCGGAGGTTTCGGAGGTTTCGGAGGTTTCGGAGGTTTCGGAGGTTTCGGAGGTGGACCCCCGTCCAGAAGCGTCAGCTCGACTGGAGCTTCAGAACGGCGGTGCTGTTGCCCCCCGTTGGCCTTCTGTGGGCCACGTTGCGGCCTGGGGGCCCCGACCCGACCGCCAGGCGTCGGAAAAAAGCAGCCCGCGGCCAGATCCCGGCTCCAGAGAAGTGGTCGAGATCTCTGGGGCTCACGCCATCCAAAATCCACGACGTTCGAAACATGGGTTGTTTTCCTCCTCATCATTATCCTCCTCCTTCTCCTCCTCCTCAGCATCATCACCATGACCGTCACCGTCCTCAGTACCATGATCATCCTCGGATTTTCCTTCTCCTCCTCCTCCTAGTCTTCCTCCCCCTCCTCCTCCTCCTGCTGCGCCACCTGGCGCACAGACTCTCGAAATGCAGCCCCTGTCCCTAACGAACGAGCGTGCAACCAAAGGCACTGAGGGAGGAACGAACGGGGACAGGACAGGGAGCAAGCAGAGCGAGCAGAAGGAAGGGACACAATAAAAATGAACAAAAGGAAACAAAAAAGAAGCCAAAATGGGCCATCCCTTTTCACATCCTCAACCCCCCACCCATTGGCTTCCCCCTCGCAACCCCCATTTACTTCTACACCTCGTCCTACCCCCCCCCCGCCTCCCATCCACCTATGCCTCTCCTTACCCCATCTATCTCGGTCTCGTCCTTTTCCTCGTTGTCCCTCTCCTCATCCTTTTTCCCCGCCTCTTCGATATCCTCTTCCTCCCCTGCTGGTAATCGTGTTCTTCCTCCTGCCTCTCATCGCCACCATATCACCATCATCGTCATCATCAGCATCAGCATCAGCATCAGCATCTTCTTATTCAGCATCATCATCAACATCATAATAATCATGATCATCATCATCATCATCATCATCAGCAGCAGCAGCAGCATCATCGTCATCATGATCAACATGATCATCATCATCATCATCAGCATCATCATCATCATGATCATCATCATCATCGTCATCATCATCACCATCGTCATCATCGTCATCATCATCATAATCATCATCACCATCATCATCATCATCATCATCATCAGCATCGGCATCATCATCATCATCACCACCACCATCATCATCATCGTCATCATCATCATAATCATCATCATCATCACCATCATCATCAGCAGCATCGTCATCACATCATCACCACCACCATCATCATCAACATCGTCATCAACATCAGCATCAGCATAGGCATCAGCGTCATCATCATCATCAGCAGCAGCATCAGCATCATCATCATCATCATCAGCAGTAGCATCAACGTCATCATCATCAGGTTCAGCATCATCATCATCATCAGCAGCAGCATCATCATCAGCATTAACAGCATCGTCGTCTTCGTCATCATCATCCGCATCAGCCCAAGCATCATCATCATCATCATCATCATCATCATCATCATCAGCATCAGCATCAGCATCAGCATCATCAGCATCAGTATCATCACCATCTTCAGAATCAGCATCAACAGCATCCTCATCATCATCAGCATCATCATAATGTGCACATTAGAATCGTCATCATCATTATCATCATCAGCAGCAGCATCATCAGCAGCATCATCATCACCATCACCACCATCATCATCATCAGCATCATCAGAATCAGCATCATCATCATCATCATCATCATCATCGTCATCATAATCGGCATCAGCATCATCATTATCAGCAGCAGCATCAGCATCAGCATCAGCATCGTCGTCATCATCATCATCATCATCATCATCATCATCATCATCATCATCATCATCATCATCGGTATCATCAGCATCAGAATCACCATGATCATCAGCATCATCATCATTATCAGCACCATCACCATCACCACCATCATGATCATCATCATCCTAATCAGCAGCATCATCGTCATCATCATGGTCATCCTCATCATCATTGTCAGCATCAACATCATCATCAGCGTCATGATCATCATCGTCATCGTCATCATCATCACCATCGTTCATATCTTCCTCTATCGACGTATAGAATGTTCTTCTTCTGTTCGATTCCCACTCCCCTTCCCGTTTCCCCTCTCCGGCGGACGAAACGGAAACGGGGAGGGCAAGTGCAAAAGAGAAGAAGGAGATGTGATGAGGAAAAACATGAGAAGCGTGAGGGGATGAGGAAAGGGAACCTCCCCCGAACATAATCGACTCAAGGCACCGCCCAAGCACCACCACCGTCAAAAAACGAGCCCGACTCAGCTGCAACCAATGGCAACACCAACCGGCGCATCCAGGACGAATGA